ACTTGAGTTAATATAATGAATAACATGAATCAATCTTTCCCCCACTTAAAAACATATTTCGCGACATCTCTTTACAACTTCAAATGCTACGACTGTCACCACATAGCAAGAACATCAATTCAGTCACATATTGTGAAAGTTCAATTTCTAGTCACATCATCTCCTCGATTATCCCATGCTTTATAAATCTGGCCACGCTTCAAAAATTTCAACATCCCCATGACATGTATCATAATCACTTATTGCAAATGCTACCCTGATTCTATGTAAGATTTTTCGTATTAGCCATGTTCTTTGCTTATGTTTCACTTTACTAATTTGTTAATAAGAAAGGGTTGCTACTCTTAAACTAATGACATAGTTATCATTGACAATAACCTTGCACAAGTCCATCCTTATTACTTACACACAAAAATGTATGTAGCTTATGGTGTAATTAATATATACATCTTCAGGAATTTTTTTTTACTCGAAAATTACAAACAAAAAGAGAGTACGAATTAACTAGTGGAAACCCATTACGATTATATGTTATTATAAGGTTAGATTTATATGTTCTCATACACCAAGTTTCTAAAAATGACAAATGAATACAAAACTAGATAACTATCACACATCTTTGTCTTAAAACACAATGCCAACAATCTAAATTTATAACTAAGCATAATAGTATTAGTAAGTATAGATAATGTTTCCATTGTGAAACATATATTACTCAAAAATGAAGAGAAACTAAGTGTGTTAAGACATGATGTATGAGTGGGTTGCCTCATTATGTTTTGACAAAATATTTGTATAAAATGTATTCGAAACAAAAAGAACTAAATGAATAAAGATGAGCATAAAACGTTTCTTACCAATTTTTATGGTGTTCGAAAAGAGTCAAAACCAGATAAATGAAGTCTGGCTTCATTCTCTAATCTCTCCCAAGCGAATAACAAAATTAGAAATATATATCACATATAGCAAAGCACAACATATCACTTCATATGTAATAAACAACTAGGATAAGACCTGCGCCTTGCGCAGGGTGAATATATGTAATTAAAATATAAAATTTTAATATTCACAAATTTAAAATTTACATATAATTGTTTTTGTATGTATTTGAAATTTTAGAATTTTGGAATTTTTATATAATTATCTATACGTATGATCAAAAACAACTTTAATTAGAAATGTAAATCAAATCTTAGAATTTAATGGATCTGATTTCATATATCTTTTTACTTTTCAGTGTTCGAGTGATGGAAAATAAATGGAGTGTCACTGGGCTT